GAGTGGCAGTTTTTTGACTGTCCTAAAAAGTCAACTATATTACTGATACGAACATGGGAAGAACTTCCTCCCAATGTTGATATCAAGTCCGATCCGAATCCGAGGCCAGTAAGTGTGGTCAGATTTCCACGAAATAAAAACTGCCCTTGTCAATTGGCGATAGCATGCCGCCTACGCCCTTAAGTATAATTTTCGGTGAAACATCCCCTAAAACCTGATTTCGGAAGAAAAAATTTAGATATTATTGTTTGGCATTCAAAACTTTCGGCAATGTGGGATTCGGTGAAAAAGTTGATCCAGGAAGCGGAAGAAGGGAATAACTTGACTTATCCCCAACTTGAGTTTTTATTTTATTATTGTGCCTTAGAATGGTTTACATCATTACACCAAAATTATTTGACTGAATTCCAAGCAGTTTAGGAGAAAATCCACGTGGAAAAAGGGTATAACTCAACTTAACCCCTTTTACAGTCTAAATTTCATTGGAAAATGGAGATAACTCAACCTTAGTCTACATGAGTCCGTTTGACAAATTGGCAAAAGGATATAACTCAACTTGTGTTTTTATGGATCTAGTGTAAAAAGAATCAACTCAACTTAACCCCCCCTTAATTTTAAATTTCAATTTGGAAAAAAGAGCTAAGTCCAAAAAATACACCAGAGTAACATACACTTTATGCAGACTATTGTTCCACTTGACTTGTCTCAAAATTCCTTTTGGTTTAGGAAATATAAGGTGAGCTGACTCTGTTTTCCATTTCAACGGAAAGTGATAAGTCGCAGAAATCCTCTACGGAGTGACCTTACACTTTTGATTTTTTTTCCAAAATTTTACTAATGCTTTTTGAAATTATTAACATCTGAAACATTCATTTGTTTTGTTTTAGTTTTCCCTGCTAACAGTTTTTTGTTTCTCCTGAAAAATGACCAAAATTGAGTTATCCCCTTCTTCCGCTTCCTGGATCAGTTTAGGTGAAACGTCGTGATACCCACCCCCACAGGCTGGTCAACTAATTGCCTTCAACCCCCCGGCACCTGCTGCACCCCCTCAGGCTGCAGCCCTTCCTACCCTCTTACGCCTGGCTCAGATTGAACTACAACTAGTGACTCTGCAGTATCAAGTCAATCAGCTGCAGCAGCAGCAACAGCCACAACAGCTGCAGCTGCTTCAGCAATCGCAGCCTCGCCAGCAACAACAGTCGGATGACCCCTTTACCAGGCACCACCCCTAACTTCCGTGATAACGTAATTTCCGTGATCAAAACACCCGCTAAACCGTATGGGAATACCTAAGGGCTCATGTTTTTAGGAAGGTAGTACAAGGTCTGTACTTTGAATACCATTGCCGTAACTCTAGCATCATTCAGGACCCCACTAATCAAAAGAACTTAATTGGATATTTCTCACTTTCGGCAAATCAGAGACGTCGAAACTGCCCCGAAACGTGAGAATCGCTCGGGTTTATGTTTGCCAGCATCGTCGCAAAGAATCGTCTGAATAGCCGCCCAAATTGTTCCAGAGCTAATTCTTGTATCATGTGCCTGATTTCACCCTCATCTTCAATTAAATTCAACGCTGCGCAGGCTCTTTTGTATTTCTCGTGAACTATTCCATCCACTGTTCGCAAGTGGTACGGCTCGGAATTGAAAGGTGTTGTTGCCATTGGTGCAAGCCGCCCAATAGTGTGGGTGTTACTGCGTCTCCAATTGTTTTCTTCATATAAATAGTATTTGACATCGGTGTTTAGTTTTCCTCGATGAATACCTGGTCTTCAATTCAGTGCAAACCATTTGGTTTATTAGTTAAATGAATAATGTGTCTTCATGCCTTTCTAGAGCCACTTCTTCTTGGCCGTCACGAAATATGACGTTTTGTTTGAATTCCTCATGAACTGGCAAGACAGCAACAGTTGAGTATGGGTTTGGGAATATCCCATGACATGAGCTTCGTATGCTCCCATGTGTTTCATTTCTTTGAACTCCTCTCATCAAGATCAAACGGCCCCCCCTGTGGCCGGTCTTGGTTTTTCGGAACTATACAAACGTTGACTCGATTACCATAGCTCCCTTTCAGATGGTTACCGTAAAAGTACTTGCAGGCACAAGTGGTTCAACTTTGTGACAGAGTTCTTCTGCCTTAGCGTTCTGTTCTCAAAATCTAAGCGTCCGTCTGAGATGTACGTGACCATCCAAGAATTTGATGCCGGAAAAGTGTTTGGTGATGGTTAGTTGGATATTACCATCAAGAAACATAATATTAACGTGCCACCGCACTGCGAGCAATAGACACGTTCAACAATGCCAGCATTATTTCTTCCTAAAATACGCCAGAGCTCTTTCTTGGAGGTAGGAAAATGCTTCCTTCCAAATGCAACATTTTTGGAGTCAAATGCATCAATAAGACTTTTATAAGTAAGCTTGTGACGCATCATGAGGGCAAGGTCAAGCAACAACATTCCTCGCACTGTTGGTATTGCAGTCATAACCACTGGTTCATCAAGAGTCAAATTAACAGGCGCAGCTCTCGAATCTAAATCAACATGATAGGATTTACACCGGGGAGAAGCCTTTTAAGTGCACGACGTGCGGGAAAAAGTTTGCTCAGGTGTCAAATTTGAATCAACACAAAAAGACCCACTCCGAGGAGAAGCCTTCAGAGACGTAAGCTTATGTGCGACTGGAGTTGCTTAGTGCGTGGGAAGCTCTTACTCGAGTTCCAGCAGCAAAGAATACTAGTTTGTTCAAATTGAGTTTAAATTCTCTTTCTAATTGGTTTTGTTTTGAGTACTGTAAATTGCAAGTGTTTTGATGTCTTGAAATACATGTTTGTCCAAATAATTTGTTCTCATCATTTTGAATTAACCCAAAGGCCTTCTTTTTAAACGAGATGTCACTTGCCAGGGAACTGTCTGTTGTGCCCCTCCCCAATCGTAATGGGAAGAGTAATCATTAATTTGAAATAAAGATTGTATTTTACTGTGAAATTTTAAGAAGAGTTTTACTACCGGACAGTTTTGAGTCAATTTGTATAAGACAATCAAAGAATGTGTGTAGAGGGTAAGAGATAGAGATATATGTGTGTAGATGTGAAAGGAAATCAAGGAGCAGAAGCAGTCTGGATAGCAGTAAAGTTTATATGTACAGTAAAGATGTCACTTCCCAGGGAACTGTCTGTTGTGCCTCTCCCCAACCTATCAAATAGACTAGTCGTTTATTTGTTTTGTAATTGAAATTTGTTCTATTTTTGCGGTTTATAAGGTTTTCTTGTTTCAGTCATATTGTTTCACAATGAAATGCTAATGTTGATTAAATTTCAAAATGTGCTGAAATGCATTTGATATGTGGGTTCTATGAGTGTGTTTATTCTTCTTCTACCTCAGAGCATCTAAAACTTGTAATCGAACAAGCGCCGTTCTTTTTCGAGATGGAGAGGAACAGCATGCTCTTGAATGACATGAGGACACAAAGTTGACCAAATGGTTTGAGCTCAATCACCACCCAGGAATTCATCGAAACAAAGTGTACATTGAAGTTTGGATCAATTCCCGCCCAACAACTAGTTGTCAGGGGCAACATTTATCTTTTATTATTCAGTTTTTGTAAGTGCGTAGTTTACTTGTTTGCTCACAGAGGGAACGACAACACAGTGGTCAGGAGGTTTTCGTACGTGCTACCTATCATTATGCAAACCAGTGCATGTGTGACGTGAACGTGTCGAGACACGCCCGCATCACGAAGTGGACTCCAACATCTGTGGAGGAGTTGAAAGTCTTTCTGGGAATAACCAGGAGGATGCTGACCCATTTCGACCTCCAACCCAGTCTCGAGTCCTAATGGGCCCTCGTTTCACTGCCCCAGCCCGACCTATACTGGAGCAAGAACTAATCCGACATCTATGTTGTGCCCCTCATCAAAGCATCGATGAAGAGAGACCGCTTTTAGCTAATTCTCCGATCCATGCACTTCGTTGATGCTTCAGAAGCGCCCAAAAGTCACCTGGGTAAGACATCCTCGTTGGTGTCTCATCAACAACAAGTTCCAAGGAGCCATTGAATTGGGTCGAAACCTGTGTCATTGGCGAATCTAATGTTGTGTTCAGGGGACTGTTGTAAATATAGCCGATGGCAGTTGCCTGATGAGTGCCGATGGATTGAGCCACCTGATAGCCACTTCCTTTGTCTCTGGAAATTTTAAGAATGTTGGTGTAATAAACAACAATTTATGGTCACTTAAAGTAAATGGAGAAGTGAAATGGCACAACCATGCCTACCGTCAGAACAACAATGAAGGCAAACCTGTAAATCATGGCCAATTATATTTCCTGGCCTTTGATCATGATAACGAAGAAGAAATAACCAATTTGAGACTGCAAGGACTAAATTACAACTCTCAGCTAGACAGAAATTTACTCATTTCACTGGAAAATTATTTAAGACAACATAACAACTATGTTCGTGCTTTCAAGTTTACGGCCGAAATTGCAGCACAAGAAGCGACCAGGGCCCAGCAAGAACGACGACAAATGAAAGATGTTGTTTTAGTTGTGAATCCAAAGGGGCGAAATGAAAAAGTAACTTCGCTTGGACATAACTTTATTGACAGAATTTTGAGAGGTGGTCAATACCAAACTAACCCAACTCCTGATTTTGTCGATGCAGTTTTTACTGGAAAGTTACCACCAATGAGTTACGATGCAATGTACTTTCCTAGACCACTTAATCCAAATGAACGTAATCCCGGAGCACCACAACCATTAACTCAGACCCTCGACATTCAAACATTTCCTCCAATGCCGCTAACTTACTTCGAAAGGGCAGGACCAGCCACAAAACTTTTGGATTACCATTGGAAGATGACGGTCTACTTACGACCAGAAGTAGACTGCATATGCAATCCATACAAGCCCAACAACTCCAAGAAGCTGCAATTATTATTTGGGACGAGGTATCCATGGTTTCTGCGTGGATGCTTCATGTCGTTGACCGCCTTCTGAGAGACATAATGCAACAACCAAACGTGCCCTTTGGCGGTAAAGTGGTTATTCTTGGTGGAGACTTTCGACAAATTTTACCCACTGTCGTAAAGGGAACAAGGGCAAATATTATTGACGCAACTATAACATCATCGAATTTATGGCCACTTTTCAAAGTCACCCACTTAACAAAAAATGTGAGAGCTCTACAAGACCCTGCTTATGCTGAGTGGCTGTTAAGTGTCGGTGAGGGACGAGCTAATGAACCGAACTCAGAAGAACTAAAAGTGCCCAGAGAAATGCTGGAATTACATTTGCAGGATCTTATCAATCACTGTTTCGGCCAACAGTATGACAAACCAGATCATGATGACGCAGCCATATTATGTCCAATAAATGATGCAGTGAACAATACTAACAAACAAATTGCACAGTCAAAATTAAAAGATGATCCAAGTGCCAGAAAATATTTAGCAGCTACAAACTTAATTAATTTAAACCGGAATGAACAGCAGCAAGAAGACAACGACGAAAATAGACCAGAAGATCCCCGACCAAGATTTAATGAAGAATACCTGAACAGTCATGAAAATGCCTCACTTCCGTCCCATGATCTCTTAGTGGCTCCAGGCATCAATGTAATGCTAATAAGAAACTTGAGTTGGTGGTGGTTTGTGCAATGGCACCAGATTAAAGATAACACAATGTCTCAACAACTTGCCCATTTGTAAAGTTCTGACCGGCACCAAAAAAGGAGAAACTGTTGCAATATTTTGAGTAGACATCATGACAGATGAATTTAGTCTCCCTGGCACTTTGAAAAGACGGCAATTTCCCATCAAATACAGTTATGCAATGACAACCAACAAGTTGCAAGGCCAAACATTGAAGAGGATTGGTTTATACTTAACTACTCCATGTTTTTCTCACGGCCAATTCTACACTGCGACAAGTCGAGTGGGTAAAAAAGAAAATTGCAAAATTGTAATTATTGAAGGCCCTATGCAGGGAAGAATCAACAGAGGACACGGACTGCGAAGATCGGACAAATTATTCTACACACAAAATCCCATCTTTTACGATGTGTTAAGGAGGGACATCACTCCAAAATGATAAAAAATCGCAACTTTTTTTTATTAGATCATACTATAGACCATTCTTTTCTGCGTCGAATGGCGAAAACCGCATTCCGAAATTCAAAAAATTGCAGTTTTGGGAGGTTGTGGGCCGCAAACATGCATAGGGGAAAAGCCCAGTTTCCCCAACTTTGATCGAGTTTTTCTCGCAACATGAAATTGCAAACGGTTCCAGGCCTCTAGGGCGCAGTTTTTGAGCTACAGCGGGGAGATTTAGCATGGAAGCTCCTACGACATGCCGCTATGGTAGGTAGCAAAATAATTTGCATTGGTCGATTTTTATTATTTTTTTAACGTTTAAAATTGAACACTTTTGACCCAAAAAATTGAACAACTTTTTTTGGCATGTAACAAATACAACTTAGAATGGTTTTTTAAAAGTGATTGAGGTACCCACCATAGCCAGACATCTCAGGAAGGCTGTCACCAAATTACGTTGTTCTAGGTCAAACCGTTTGGCGTCCAGCGCTGCAACCGTGCGAAATGGTCTAACCTCAAACTCAAAAATGCGTTTTCAACGAAAGCGCTGTACTGCCCTGGCGGATTGACTTAGTGTTGTTTTATACTTTATCTGTTAAAATATGAACAATTTTTCCCTTTCCGTTTGGTTTTTATGACGATTTTACAAAAGCACTGTTTTCGGAGTGATGTCCCCCCTTAAATGCTATTGAGTAATTTGTCTACAAGTAAGTTTACATTCCACATAATTTCCTGTTTCTAAACTAACGGCTAACTAATTCAATTTATTGAACACACAGCCCAACTGTGGCACCCCACTGTGACAACGCCGAGGAGGAGGAAAGGAAGGTCTTGAGAATCGAAAGCGGATGGTTTGGTCAGCCGTCCGTTAGTGGAGCACACCGGCTGCATGGAACGCTGAAGCTTGGTCAACTTCAGTTAGTACTAGCTCAAGACTTCCAGCTTGGTTAAGGCATCTTTAAGTAAGTAAAAATTCTACTTAATTTCCTGTATGTTCACTGAGGATGAACTTTATTTACTTTGTTCGACACGCAGCCCTACAACGACACCCTATTATGACAACGCCACGGAGGAGAAAAGGGAGGTCTTGAGAATCGAAAGCGGATGGATTGGTCAGCCGTCCGTTAATAGAGCACACCGGCTGCAAGGAACACTGAAGCTTGGTCAACTTCAGTTAGTACTAGCTCAAGACTTCCAGCTTGGTTAAGGCATATTCAAGTAAGTAAAGATTCTACTTAATGTCCTGTCTGTTTACTAATGACTGACTTAATTTCCTTTATTTGGCATGCAGCACAACTGTGACACCCCATTTGGTCTTCATACAGCTTTGAAGCCATCTCATCATTTCCTCATTTCAACAATCTTTTAGGTAACAAGGTAGGTTTACGCCAGACGGCGTCTTGCCGTAACAGGCTTCGCGATGTCTCGCGGCCTGTTTCTCCAATCCGCGCCTGGCGCACCTACCTTGGCCTGCGGCGCTAGCCTGCCTACGGCAGGCACTGGCTTGTCCATCGTCCGTTACTTCTTACTTGTTGCATACTGGGGGGCTCCGCCCCCCAGACTCCCCTTCATTCTAGATAGAGTTGCTTCATCAACAGATAACACGAGCTTGACCCTTGTAACTTTTAAACTTGGCGAGGCTGGGGGGGCTCCGCCCCCCAGACCCCCTTTTCTGCAAGACAGAAATGATCTGCCTGCAAAAGACTCGAATTTTCGCCGTTTTTTAGGTGTTTTTCGGCCATAAAAACTGATCCAGTTGAGCTAGGATAGTGAAACTTCGCGTGTGCCGAGCTAAGGACATACCTAAAATGTGTGCACAATCTCAGCCAGATCGGCTGATCCGTTCAGGAGGAGTAGTGCACACACACACACACACACACACACACACACACGGACAGACAGAAAAAGTTTTCTAACCGCACTGGAGTAACAGGCTTCGCCATCGCTCAGCCAATTAGTTACATAACAAACCATTACGTTACTAAACTGTCTTTTCTATTGAACGAGAATTAATTTTTGTTACAGAATTATGGGTCACATTTGTCATAGCTTAACTTCTTTGCCTCAGATGGGGGATAATTCATCACTTTACTCCGCATAGGGCTAAATTGTCGATGCTTTTCTCCTCTAGAACTCAGTGTTAGATGTCGCTTGATTGGAATCTTTGTGGTGTAGCGGCTAGCGCGCCTGGCCTACAATTCAATTCCGTGCGTTCGAATCCTTGCACCTCGATCTGTTTTCTTTGCGTGTTGGGTTTTACTTAAAGCCTTTTACTCCTTTATGTTTCACGTTTATTTATACAATATTTTGTTGTTTTCCCATTTATGTTTAGTCGATTTGAAAATGGATAACCAACCTGGAAGTTCAAGACACCGATTACCAAAGGGTATCAGTGCAAGAAAGTCTGACTGTTCTACACCTTCAATTTCAGGAAAAAAGGCTAAGAACGAAGAAACCATTGTTTAGAGTAGTGATGAAGAATTGCCTTTGAATATTGATTCAGAATCTAAAGATCACGATGTGGATGTTGTTGTTAAGTCTGAGCCCTCTGCTTCACCCATAAAAGTGAGTACAGTTTATTTTAATGTGAGTTGTGCTATTGTGCGTTTTGACCTTATTTAATGCCCTTTTTTCAGGGCGCTTTGGATCTTGATTTGTCTCCGATTGTGAAGAAGTCAAAACGACGAGTAAGTTTTAAACCAATAAAATATGAAACCCTTACTGTTTTTTAATTTTTTTTTTTTTTTCAGATCGTTGAAAATGAGACGTCCAGCAATGAGTCTGCTGCTGAATCAGAAGTAAGTGTTTTAAGGTTGAAACATTCTTTTCAAAGATTGTTTGCTGTGTCTCTTATACATTTTTTGTTACGGTTTTATATTTTCCTATTTTTTGCAGCTGTCTGGGAGTGAGTCGTCCAGCAGTGAGTCCCCCTTTGAATCAGTGGTAAGTTTTTTTTTTGTTAGGTAGAAACATCTTTTTGATGAATCGTTACCTGTTTCTTTTGTGCATCTTTTATATTTTTCTTACGTGAATCAATTTTTTTACAGAAATCTTCACCTTTGAATAAAAGTCTTAAAAGAAAGGCAATAACTGGAAAAAAGGTTGTAAATTTATGATACAATTATATTTAAGTGATAGTGATAAAATTATTCTACAGGGTGAGTTTTCTCAATGTGTCAATAATTTGCAGGCAGTTTGGGCATCCCTAGGGGACCATTTTTCACCAATGAACTAGTGGGCGCAAACGTCTAGATACGGAGATAATTGGTGTTTTGAATTTGGATTTTACGCCTACAAGGTAGGCACCCGGTGCCACTGAGTGTGGCAGGACCTGTCGAGGGGTGTCGCGACTAGCAGTACTCGCGGGAGTGCCACTTACCTCGCGGAAGTATCCGTGGAATCCTGCCACCCTCGCAAAGACAGCCGTGAGATCCACTGTAACGGGTGCCCCATGACAGCCCCTTGAGACCCGCGGCAACCTCCAAAAGACATTTGCAAGGTCCGCCGCACCCCTTCGAGACTCGAAGCACCCCTCCTAGACCCGCGACACCCCCACGTGAGGTACTGCGCCCATCAGTGGCAGCGGGTGCCTACCTCGCAGGCGCGAAGGTCAATTACAAAACACCAATTATCTCCGTACCTAGACGTTTGCGCCCACTAGTTCATTGGTAGAAAATGATCCCCTTGGGGTGCCCAAACTACCTACAAATTATTGACACATTGAGAAAACTCACCCTGTATATTATATTTTTTTTCAGGTTTCTGTACAAGATTCACATTTAGACTTAGACAAAGAGGTCAGTTTATAGGTTTCGTATGTTTTCTTTTCACTTCCTTTTGCAAAATCGATGACCAATTGTTCTTTTTAGGTTTCTTCAAAACGCTCAAAATCAAATAAACTCGAAGATGGAAATTGTAGTTTAACCTTTGAGGTAAGAAAAAGCTTTTCTTAATATCTGTTCTTGCTGTTGTTTTCCTTTGCAAAATTATGTCAATACTGTTTTGTTCGTTAGCAAATTCACACATCTTAAAAGTTACGAAGAAGATTTCCAAATTACGAAGGAAATGGCGCAAGCATAATACGAAGGTGGTTTCTTCGTATTACGAAGGTTTTTCTTTTATCTTACAATGAAAAAGCTAAAAAGATTCGTATTACGAAGGAATATTGCTTCGTATTATGCTTGCGCCGAATTCACTGTAACATACGAATAACATAGGTCAAATTTCATTGTAAGACATTTAGAGTGCAGACAACTAATGAAAAATCGTTGTTCTCTGATACTGAGGATAGTCTCCTTTTAAATGCCAGCCAAGCTTATGATGATTCTGGAATTTCTGATGTACGTAAGCAGTATGAAGTAATATTGACAATTTCCAATGCGCGGTAGTAATTGTTTCTTTTTTATATTTAAACCATTTTTAATTGTATTGCAGATTGCCACCAAATCTGAACCGATTCAAAATTCAAATCAAAGCTCTGCTGAACCTGTATGTTCCAAAACAACTTAAAGACACTGTGGTAAGTTAAAACTTTTATATTTTTAGCTTGGTTGATCAGGGTATTTTTAAAAAAATGTTCTGCGAAGAGTGTTGTTAAGAAACCGGTATTGCAGGAA